CACACACACACACACACACACACACACACACACACACACACACACACAAACACACACACACACACACATCCACAGAGCTCTATGGGATGCAACAGGTTACCCATCCTCACATATTACTATAGTCAGGAGCTTGTTGTGCGTTTCATGTTGCCAGATCGTCAAGGAGGAAATTCTGTAAGGAAGAGGAAGAGGAAACAGTTAAAAAGCCTGTTGCACAATGCATTTTTTTCTAGATAACCTTTACAAAAGGTGCTATTCAAATCTCATCAATGTTGTATTTCTTAAATTAATAAATATATGGGGCTGACTTTCATAACCTCCACTCAAAGTCCACTTATTTCCAGTTTCTGGAGCTTCTGATCACATTGAATGACACCAACATTTACTCAAGCACTGTACCTCAGTACAATTTTGGTATTTTTTAACTACATCTTGGAGGTAAATATTTTTTTACTCATTTTCAGATTCATATTATTATTACAAATTATCATCAGCTATCATTATCATCAAATGAATGTTGAAGTATAATAGATTAAACTACCAGTAGTATAGTTAAAATGAACCCCTTTTGCCAGCTGCAACATTAAAATGATGAACACATTAATGCAAAACTATAATCCAGTATTCTGGGGCATTCTGTATAATGAATACTTTTACTTTTGGCACTCACATACTGATGTACTTTTACTTGACTAACATTCTGAATGCAGGACTTGTAATTACAGAATAGTTTACACTGTGGTATTTCTACGTTTACTTAATTAAAAGCATGGAATACTTCCTGTCATTAGATTATTATTGGATTATAATTGTCTTCATACATCTGGCTGATTCTCAGATTTGATTAAGAACTATTTATATTCCTCCCTATAAACGTCAACAAATGTTCTTTACGTCACCCTAAACTCTTTTTTAAGAAGTGAATGGTAATTTAAAAACAGCTTCTCCTAATAATTACCTACCCTGGATTATATACCTCAAAAATCACTGTCTCAAAAAAAACACATTAAGCTGGTCAAAAACCTGCACATCATCACTAAAGAGCGACCATAATGGAGGAGAAATAACACTCTTCCCTCCTTCATCTTGACCAGCTCACTTCCAGCTGACCCTGCTCCACCAGGTAATTACAGTTAATGCACAGAGCTGCTCAAGTGTGTCACACTGTCTATACAAAGAGTCTGAGGCAATGTACTTCTGCTGTTTGAGATGCTTTTTAAGTGATCAATAAGAATTACAATGTCATTGATTTCATGGAAACCTTTACTCTAAGTCTATTTATTCTCTCTAAAGGTGTGGGGAGTTTAATGACTATTGTGAAATAAATTTAAAGCTGGGGTTTCAGTTTAAAACCTTTAACACAAAAGGAAAATATGTCACCCCTGTTAAATCCCTAAAGTGTCAATTTATCAAGAGGACAGATTGCCTAGTTCTCTTTACTTCACTTTAACACACAACATATACCCTCAACTTGCAGCATGATAACCTATTTGTCAGTTAGTAATTTGTTTACAGGATGTTATTTAATGTGTAATTCCCACATGGACACCAGAATTAGTTTCATTGGCAAAACATTTAGATAAGAACATAACTTAATACTATGAAAGAAATAACTATCTCCCCTCCCAGACTCTACAAATAAAATCAGAAGAGCCCAACCCGAAGAATGTGTCTAAAAAGTGTCCGTCTTAAATCATCATATGACCAATAAAATATTAAAGGGACTTAATCTTCAATCTATTAATCACACAATAGACAAAACCTTATCTCCTATTGTAAGTGCAAAAAGTTATTAAAGGGGTGTTGAAATTAAAACTGGTTAAATTTCAAGTTATTGACTCAAACATTCCTCCTCCAATGTTAACTTTTTATGATTAGGTTTGTTTAGTGCAGCAGTAGAGTTTATTCTATAAATGTAATTTCTCCAATTGATTGACTGATGATTTTGTCCTTCACACTGAAGTTGCTTAAGTACCAGCCAAGACAAGACAGGCGGAACTATTAAAGATACCAATAACCCTTTGTGCACCTGATTGTTGTTTAAAGACAAAATGAAAGACGCATCCTAAAGGTTCATTACTTGACCTGAATTCAAAATCATCTGAACTGATCAGAACAGACAAGTGGACAAGACAAAGTGCACTTAAAAAAAGAATACATTATTTAAAAAATAAGTTATATATATATATATATATGCTGAATAATTAGCTAGCATCATTATCATCTTCAACACCTCTTACCCTCCATCACTCTGCAATCAGCAGTGATACACTGAAGTGATTTCAATGAAGTAACTCTGGCCTCCAATCTGAAACCACCATTTTCGGAAAAAGAAAGAAATCTAAGATAATTAGTGGGTGTTTCCAGACAGATTTTCACTATTATCTTTTTTTTTTTTTGTTGTTTTCATAAATGCATGGCCTACGTGTGAGCCTATAGAGAAAGGAGGGTACAACCCCGCGGGTCTGCTGGTCCAATGGGCAGCATCACATCCTGTCTGACTGAACTGGGTGTAAACTTTGAGTCGAGGCGGAGAGAGGGAACCACAGCGGAGTCTGAGGCTCACACTGGTGCCACTGGGTTTTTGAATCCCCACAAAGTTAATGAAGTTGGATTATTTTTTTGTTTTGAATACAGAAAAAAAAGAGAGGAGAGTTTGTTTAAAGAACGATGTCTCGCGGAATCATTCGGATATTTTGTCTGTGATGTTCTGGGGAAACTTTTATTGGACGATGTTTTCGCTGTTTTTGGGAGGTTTTCCATGTATGAAGTATATGTTTTTCTATTTCCATATAGACCGTCAATTCTTATTTTACTGCCTCCAATATTTATACCCTAGCTGGTAATTAACATAATCTTGCATTCCTGTTAATTTCGACAAGATGAAGGACAACACGGACTCCGGATTGCCTCCTAAACGCAGATTTTTTGGCACTTTATGAATGCAGCTGTAATCACCCAGGGGAGCCTCAAGTACTTAAATGGGTCCATCATGACAACGACACAATCAAGCTCCTTTATGCCTCGAGATCAGCTGCAGTTTCTGCACATTGTCCGTTATGAATAGACCGATCTTCAATTGAGCCACTTCACTTTGGAGATTTTTCGATTTTCGATTATACAGCTATTGAAATTAGGATGCGCCGCTTTTTTCCTCTCTCTTAGCTTGGTGGCTCGGTTGCCTTTTCTTGATTGCCAGATGAAATTGACACTCGGGTTGCCACTTAACAAGCGAAGCATTTCAATCCACCGCTAATTGCAGATTTAGTGCCATCCTTTCTTTTCACTGCGTTTTGATTGCATGGGAATACAGCCTCCTATTGCGCACAAGAGGAATGATCGATCATATATATAGGGTTTTTTTCTTCTTCTAATTGCATCAAAATGTCTTTTGTTGCCAGGGTTTAAATGCAGGAGAAACTGTTATTCCTTGTTTTGGACCGGATATAGTGTGGGTTGGGGCAGAGATGCGTAATGCCCAGAGCAAGCTCCATATTCTCTCCAAATAGGCAGCGTTCAAGACCCGAAAATGGTGAGTCACAAACATCTGGACGAGTTTGCTTTGCAACCTTTTGATTTCTTTGTCTTTCAGTCGGTGTAAGCTTCTTTGATTCCTTCTTCTTCCTGGACTTTTTACATGCGGGGTAACCACCGCAGGACTCTGGGTTTGGCAGAGGTTCCGGTTTAAACCAGGCTCGACTGTAACTTAAGGCTGTACGCGTGTATGAACAGGGATGTCGTGGAGAGTACAGCCACATCAACTCAATTTATCTGCTTTTAATTTGCGGATTAGAGTAAAGAATGCAGCATTTTTAGGCTGAGATAAATATTTGCGTTATAAAATGTAAATGAAACATAACATATTGTCTTATCATAGCACATGCGTGGATATGTAAGTAAGTAAGTAAGTCAATGATCAATGTAGACTATAAATATATATATATAATAGTCACTGGATAAAAATAAAGCCAGTAGTCTATAACAAATAAAATAAGAAGTTAAATAGGCTTATTAGTGTTTTTACAAGACTGAATCTTCAGGTCTGACATATTTCACGGACTATTTTTTTCAGTGACCATCTTAATAATCTGCCTAATACAAATCAGCAGGAGACGATGAAACGAATCAGCAAGAGACGATGAAACTATTCTTGTCTTTGGTATAAAACCGTATTTTTTTGACGCAGTCTAAGTCGGAGGTGAAGAAGGAGTCCGGTGAGTCCAGCCCGTCGGAGGCCGCCTGCCTCTGCTCTCCGGCGGCCAAGAACCAGTGCGCCAGCTGCGGCATGGAGATCCATGACCGATACCTGCTGAAGGTGAGAAATAAGAGGAAACGTGATCAATATTTACACTCTCAGAAATCATAAAATGTATCGACGAAGCTTCAAGAGATTTAAACTCAAACTGCGTCTCCTAATTTGGTTGGTAGCTTTACTTTTAGTCTGTATTTCTGTATTTACACCTCAGATTCATTTGAACAAAATAGGCGCAAAAATAGGTGCAGAAGGTAAATGTGGTGATGGTTTTGCTCTGGCATTACAAGGCATTTTTTTCAGTTCCTTCGGTTTTTAGAAAAAATAAATCACTAAATAAACACATCAAACGAGTTAGTTGAGTTAATTAGAAATAAGATGTATGCCATCGACGAGAGGCTCAATGCACGAGTTATCGCTCACACACACTCAGACGTGCATTAGTCCGTAAGTGATTGCATTTCATTTTTAATCTCCACAGGTCAACAACCTGAACTGGCACTTGGGATGTTTGGAGTGTTCAGTCTGCAGAGCGTCTCTGCGGCAACACAACAGCTGCTACGTTAAAAACAAAGAAATCTTCTGCAAACTGGATTATTTCAGGTATAAAAACCTGCTTTGTTCTGATTTATTATTTCTAAGACGCGAGCATATTATTAAAAGTTACTGTCTGACCAGGCCTTTATTCTTAGATCATCAGTGATTTTATATATGAAGCTTAAATATGTCAAATATATAAAATTATAATTATTAAAAATGATTAACATCTTTTGAATGGAGTTCAATTCAAATGTGTCGATTAACACAATTGAACTGAGGTTATTGAAGCGTTTACTTTTAAATGTAAATATCAAATTAAATATTTATTTACAGTTCATTTTTTTCCCTCGGTCGCTTTGTTTCGACACACCGATGTGGTTTATGCCAGTGCATACAGTACTACTGTATATGGTTCATCACTGTAGTTATGAGGCAAATTAATTTCACTGCAGATGTTTTTAATAAATAAATAAAATAACGAATGGGCCTACTGGTCTATACTCTATGGCGAAAAAATAGACAAATTAAAAATAATACCGGAGCGTTTTCTACCTAAATATTCGTGTTTCCACGAGGTTTAACTGCGACTTAAAAAAATCTCCTATTGAATCACCAAATTCATGTTAACGATCAATAAGGGACAAATGCTTTTGATACAATACTCGAAGAGCATCCTTCCTGTTGTATTTCACGTTAATAAAAAGCCATGCAGACAAATCAAACATGCATAAAAACAACATTTCTGGAAACCATATGCAGGATGATTTTTCAATGCTTCTCAATCCTGATAAAAGTGAACGTTTTTTACAAGACATTTCAGACTATCTAAAAAACATTTAAGAGCTAATTTATAAAACACTTCACCTTTACACCTGAATGGAAGAATAATGAATTTCTAGTGACAGGTGCGATAAATCAACCTGGCAACCCACCCAACGTCACAGACAACCTGCTGTCTGACGCTCACCACGGAAAAAGAACAATGATTCATTATTGGACATCATTTAGTTTATTTTTCTGTGTATTTTACAGCAAATTGATCTTTGCATCCCAATATATATTTTTGGATTCAAGTATATAGGATTTGGCTCCTCATTGAACAATATGTTCTGCATAATGGTCATGATGGGCTTTTGGTCTACAAGAATATATACTGTATATATACTAACACAACCAAGTTTTTACTGACTGTAAAAGGACAGATGAATGCACACTAGGTGAATTACCAACCAGGCAAAGTGGACTACTCCACTAAACCTCCCACTGCATGCCAATTAGTTTTGGTAATTTGATTGAATGACAATTGGTTTGAAAATTTGCACCACTGATGTCCAATATTAACTGCAATATTTGCGGATTTGACCAAGCTTCGTAGTTGGGAACGTGTTGCAACATGTTTGTAATACTGTGCTCACATGGTGCTTAATAAAGTTGTCTTTAATCACACTATCACAGACTTACTGACACATAGAAACCTCATTGGAAATACAGACGCTCCATTAGCATGGACGGATTAAAAGACAATGAGCTTTTGGACACAGACTTTAAAAAGCCCCCTCACCACCACCACCCTTATAGAAGCAAGACACCCAGACTCACAGACGCAGAGATGCTGTTGGTTGAAAAGCTGCAGCTGAACTTCAGTATTTAGTTCACTCTGGAGAGGAAGAGAGGTGGTCTGACTCTTGTCCACAGTTCCCTGCCACAACAAATCAACAATAACACTCCTCTGCAGAGATATCATACAAAATATACAGCAAACTATAAATATAATGGGATGGATGATACAATTTCTGATGTTCTGCCTCAAATTGCTTTATTAGTTTTACTATTTAAATGTAATGTAACTGTAGCCTCAGTGTGCTGTGTAGCTGTAATATGAAGGTAAAAATAAACAAATATTGAATAGGGTTTGGTTGGCAGATACTCCATATTAAACGATTCTGTGAAGGATCTGAACATCTGTTCTTGAGGTCTGCAACCTACAGCCGACCTTCACCTGCCCGTTTACTTCTCCTTCCTCACAGTAGGTTCGGCACTAAGTGCGGCCAGTGTGGCCGGCAGGTGTACGCCAGCGACTGGGTGCGGCGGGCTCGGGGCAGCGTGTACCACCTGGCCTGTTTCGCCTGTTTCTCCTGCAAGAGGCAGCTGTCCACCGGGGAGGAGTTCGGCCTCGTGGAGGGCAGGGTGCTCTGCCGCAGCCACTACGACATCATGCTGGACAACCTCCGCCGAGCTGCAGAAAACGGTAACAGACGACATCAAACGTGCGTCTCAAATGATCCAGATTGGAGTACCAACAAAAATATGCAAGAGTCAATAAATGGAACAAAATATTTTGGCAAGTCTTGATCTCTTAGGTTTCCAAGTCTCCCTTTAAGTTTCCTCTCAAGGAGCTTTTTCCACTCTGGATGACAACATCCAGCTCTTTGTTGCAGTCACGTAACTATTATTAAGTGAAATATTAAAATACTAGAACATTTTCAAATGCAATTCTCTAAATTTCTTATTTTCAACATGAAATACCATTTGATTTGATGTTAACTTCTCTAACTAAAGATACATATGTGGGAGTCTGAACAGTGGTTGTTCACCCAACATTAAATTATGAACCTGCTACATCTGTAAGGTTACCTGGACGTTTTGAGGAGTTCTAACAAAATCACACATCAAATACAGTAAGAGGAAGAAAGCGTTATTTCACCATCAGCTCACCATGTGACAGCTAAAAAGCAAAAGTTGTGTTCTATATGGATCCTAAAATTCATAATAACCTTACTGATCACATGGACTAGACTCTGTATACATACTTTGGACTGTGCGGTTGTTGGCAAGAAAACATCTTAATTGCGTTACATGGGTTGTTTGGACAAATGTTGTTTTGTGTAACTCTACAATATGCTGACTCAAATGTAATTATGGGGAGAAGGAACATAACTGTTGAGATTGTGCTCTCTTAAAGGGACAGGACTCACTCTGGAGGGAGCGCTGCCCTCTGATCAGGACTGCCAACCAAAACCAGCCAAGAGGGCGCGGACATCGTTCACTGCAGAGCAACTGCAGGTGTGTGTGTGTGTGTTATTGCAGTCAGTGTAGTATTACATATATATATATATATATATATATATATATGTTTGTGTGTGGATTCATGACTGTGTGTCCTCGCAGGTGATGCAGTCTCAGTTCGCTCAGGACAACAACCCTGACGCTCAGACTCTACAGAAACTGGCAGAAATGACGGGACTGAGCAGACGAGTCATACAGGTAGGAAATAATAAAACATAAGATTAAAAAACACTAAAGCATCAATTTTTGAAGTAGTTAAAACCTTGGAGTTGAAATACTTTTAAAGGGTTGTGAGATATTTAGTGGAATGAGACAAATAATAACAGATGTTCACATCTTTTTAGACAAATAATCCCCTAAATCCAGAAAATGTCCCCCAGAGTTCAGAAATGTTCTCGCTTGTAGCTCCTTAAAATGAAGCATTGTCTACCTGGGACCAGGTTTTCCTTCTGACATTGACAGATTTGAAGGAGTTTTGGAGACCAGACGAGGTAAAGTTTCTGGTATTTCAAAAGAAAAGAGCAAATTCTGAGAAAGTTTTCATTTTCTTTCCATTTTTATCCCAATTGAATGAACCTGTGACTCCTCAGATGTGTGTGGGAACTCATTTAGACCACTTTAAATACATAAACTCTCTGATGACACCCAGACCAATTAAATGCTTTGAGAAAAACAATCAGAGTAGTTTCATTGTAGGTTACACTCTAACACCATTAATCTGATGGCTAAAATCCTCCCACACCACACTGGAATGACAAACAACTGAGGTCTGGTGAGAGGAACGACACTCAAACCCTCATTGCCACAGTGTTGTTGTTGAGTATATCCCTCCCTGATTACTGCATGTTTACTATCTGAACTATTTCACCAGGTCTGGTTTCAGAACTGCCGAGCTCGACACAAAAAGCAGCCGCCTCTGAGCGGCTTCTCTCAGAGTGGCTTCTCTCAGAGCGGCTTCTCTCAGAGCGCTCCGATGTCCAGGATGCCTCCGTCGCTGCCAGACGATATCCACTATTCACCGTTCAGCAGCCCGGACCGACCACATCTGCTGGCCCTGCACGGATACCTGGACAGTGAGTTTAAGGGTCTTTAAGTCAGTGCCACTTTGTTAGGGACGTTAGCCAATTAACACACACAACAATTATACATTTGTTAAATAGCAATCACTATAATTAGCTAATCAGTAACGTAGCACATTTACTTTTTTTGAGGTGCTTGTACTTGTGTATCTCTATTTCCTGCTACTTTTAACTTCTACTACATTACATTTCAGATGGAAATATTGTACTTTACTTCATTTATCTGACAGCTGTCGTTACTAGCTATTTTACAGGTTAAGACTTAACATAAAAACATCAGTTCAGAAAATATGATGCACTGTTACACATAGATGTGCCCAACTGTATCTATAATAGATCAAATCAGCGAAATCTCCACCAACTATGAAAGTAAAATGCTACTTACATATTAAGGCATCAGTGATAATAATCCAATGATATACTATGGAGTAGTACAACAATGAGAGTGAGATACAGGGTGAAATAGGTTGTGATTAAATGGCTAGTTTGCAAGAAAGAATAACCATTAGAATAAGGGTATGAATAAGTATTAGAAAAATACATGTTAAGGACCAAAATTCAAAAATAAAAAATGATAAATATTTGCAAAACAAGTATTAAAGCAGTATTTTGGTCTTACATGTACATGTAAAATCCCACACAGTGATTTGGGGCTATAACATTAAAATGACTTGAAAGTATTACAAAGGACATTATGATAAAGTGTTGAAGGCCTAAGTTTGAAACACTGCATTGTAGTTTCAGAAATACGCATTCTGAATGTATCCTGAAGTCTCTGTGGCTTCACTCAACATTTAGGAGTTTGTTGTTTTATCCGTCGTCAGCAGAATTTTCTTGAACTAAATTACATTACCATGCTCACGTTGCTCCATAAACTCACGCGGCCTCTCTTTTCTTCATGCAGCTCATCCCTTCTCCGTCCTCGCCGCCCCGGGCCACTTGACCCATCCCTCCATCTCTTTACCACAGCTTCCTATCAGCCGCTGACCTCCTGCATCGTCACCGTTCTGCTGTTGTGAGAAAAAAAAAAAAAGAATCCTTTTGGGACGTACTGTCAGTAATCTGCTCTGTTTGGGAGCCTAACCCCTCGGGGCATGCAGGACCTCGGCGATCTGTTTTCAATCAGTTGGATTCTTCTTTGCTGTGAGACAGTCTTTGAAAAGACAGCAGACTGTGGAGAAATGGCTCACCTTCACACCAACATGGGAGATAAGAAGACCACTTACATTTCATTTTTCCTCTTCTTGATGGGACTCAAAACATTGCATCAGGTCAGGATTGTTTTCCTTTTGTTTTCCCACTCGACGTATTTTAATGATTTTGCTGCAGCATGAAAACAGGGAGTGTTGTAGCAGTATTACAGTAAAACCTCAGCATTTGTTTTTTGTATTGGTGATGAGCACGTTTGCAGCTTTACTGTTGTTTGTTGTTGTATTGTTGTCAGAAAACTCCTTATTTATTCAGAACAAAACTTCACTTTTGAAAAAAAAAAAGCACTTTTAAATGTGTCTTGAAATGAAATAATTCAGTGATTGTACATTGTAAATACTGCTACAGTTTAATAAAAATGTATCAGAGCCGTTATGAAAATGTTAGTGTTTGAATAATTGAGGATCAGGATTTAATTTACTCGTGCAGAGAGAGCAAGAGGGAGAGTGTTGTTACGTGTGTCTGTGTGTGTGTGTGTGTGTGTGTGAGAGGCTAAAAATGTCAGGAGAAATGAACGTTTTCTAAGACATAAATGTGAATGCATCTCCACATTACATTGGGGCACTATTTTCACACTAAGTGCCACAAAAATCAAAAGGTCGGCTGTCAGAGGCCCAAGAACTTGCAGTAACCTATTATTGAGCACAATGTCCTGCACTTCATCTCCAATTTACATGCTGTACGTAACAGGAAATGTACTACTGTGAAAGCGTGGCCATTGATCTGGCAGCTTGTTGGCTTTTACGAGGCCTTTTAACACAGATTATCTACAGTTGTTACATTGATTGACAGCACTTAAGGAGCTGCAATGTTAAGAATGAATGGAATACTTTGAGTTAAAAGATATCATTCGATCTAGATTTTCCAAACTGGATCAATGTGCCCCCTTTATTTTTTAACCACTAAAGTAAATTCAGGGTATGCCACGCCCATGCACTTCTAGCTTCACAATCTTGAGAACAAGCAGCAGCCCAGCATTGATACAAGATATCTGATGCTGGATGAGACATTGCTATTTGAAAGATCTATTGAACAGATTGAAAATCTGTTGCTTTTGTGTCTGCCAGTATACATGTATATGTTTTCTATATAAACACATAACTTACACAACGGGATCCATTACATTTGTTTTCTTTAAACAATAGCTTAACATTTTGAAAAATATGCTTTTATGCTTTGCTTCCAAAGCGTTAGATAAGATTGAAAGGCTATCGGCCAGTTAGCTTAGTTTAGCAAAAACTGGAAACGGGGAAACAACTAGCCTGGCTCGGTCCAAATATGCAATGAATAAATCTGCACACCAGCGACTCTAAAGCTAAAAAATGACACGGTATATTTTGTTTGTGTCAACTGCTCCCAGCCAAGAAATAGTGCTGCATCCACAGTGATTGTTGCACCATAAAAATAGTGACAGAGTGGAGGCTAGCTGTTTCCCACACATTTCTAGTCTTTATGCTAAGCTAAGCTAAGAAGCTTCATGCACCAGCTTCAAATTTATATATGTCTGCCTAACAGATTTTATACGGTGTATCTGCAATAAGGTAAAATGGGCTAATTCATCAGCTTGAAATAACTAATCAATCAATCGGATAATTACCAAGCTATCTAAAGGTCACATTGGGAATTCTGTAGCAATATTTTCTGTTACCTTGCAATAAGCCTACTTTTTTTTTTTTTCCAAAGGTAAACCCTATATACTGCACTCTGTTTATCTTAAACGGTGTTATTAATTGCGCTTGGCTCCAGAGGCCGCTAATTGCGGATAGCCTCACACTCACAATCTCAAGTGCTACGAGTGTGGGCAACAATGTACATGCACAAAGCTGATCGCCACGGTTGTGTCGAGATGGTAACCTTCGATTTGCGAAACTCTCGCGAGATGGCTGAGGTGAGGCATTGACCTCAACCGATTAGTTAGGATAGGTTGACAGGCAGTAAGTTTCCTGAGATTTGTTTCGCATATCTAGGGTGACCATCTAGACACGACTGATTGCCAGTTGCCCCGCTGCAATTTGATTGGCTGTTTGCCAAGTGCTGTGGACCTCATTTGCATGCAGTTGGCAGACATTAGTATTTATTTTAAAGACAGAAAAGGTATAAGATTGTGGCCATCTTTAATTGCTATGATTATGGCTATCATATATTTGATTATAATGGGTGTAACATTAACTACATACAGGGTTGTATGTGTGCAGTGAATTTACCTGGTTATGCTGGTTAAGCGTATTGTTGAAACTTTAGTACTGTATTCTTCAACTCCCTACATAAAAAAACTAATATTTTAAAGGATTTAGTGGGGAAATACCCTGATTGTTTAGGCTGCTGGTTATTTTTTTTTTTTACGTTTGATTAGTAGTGAACACATTTTCTCTGAGGAATTAAAACGGGTGAACACACAACTAATTTGAGTAAAAATACAGAAAGAGCTCGATCACATCTGCATAATACAGTTTCAAGTAACGGCCGTGTTTCTCGTGTTGCTTGTGGAGGAACAGGACTACAGCAGATAAAAACATACACACAATGGTTCCCTTATACCACTCAGAGATTTAATTAAAGATCCCCAAACGTTTACTAGACCAGGTGTATGCGAGTGTGTGTCTGCATCCTTTTTAGGTACATGATGTATGCGTGTCTTTGTGTGGGAGTGTACGGTAAGAGCATGAGGAAGAAGAGCACAACTTGTAACATAAAAGACTGATGGAATACTCATATTCTTTCCTAAACTTAACCTAAAAACCAAACTTTCCCCTCCCCGCATCACTTCTAATCAATTCAATCCAGGAGGAAACCTGTTCAGGAAAACGATGCTCCTCCTTGTGAAATCTTAGAACAAAAAGCCGTCAATATGCTTAGCAGAGAGATGATTATCAGGCTGACACAGTTTGGGCCACCTGCCAGCACTACACTGTAAAAACGCACATTTCTTCCCCATTAAAGTCCCTGTCAGATACAAGAGCTCGAGGCAGCGTTTAGGCATGTCTTCTCTGCATGCACAAGCATCCCTGAGCATTTAAGCCGCCCCGTTTTTGTCATCATGTCATGCGTCCGCTTCGGTGATTGGCAGCTTCAAGTGGTTACAGATGAAAGCGGGCCCCCCATGCTAATGAATAGGCCCCTGATTGCAGAGCTGCTCGCTCTCTGAATTACAGCGTCGCCCACCTAATGAGCAGATACACTGCAGTGCCCCTCGTCTCTGCGTATTCACATTTCTCTCCTTCATACTGATGAGCTCTCCCCTGCACAACAGTCAACAAAACCTCTGTGGAAGATTGCAACGTGAGCCATCTTCATCAGAACCCTCCTCAAGTTTATTTCAGACGCTGCCATATGCTTCTTGTTCTCCCCCCCGCCCGCCCGCCCGCTCGCTTCTCTTGAGGATAGTATTCGACATTGCTGATGATGGCATGCAATGTAGCTGAATGGCTGATGAGCATGATAAAGTCTCAGTTTCAACTCTTAAATAAAAGAATATGGATACTACATTTTCAGAATAACTCATGAGATTAATAAAGATATATAACTGTACCACCAAACTGACAATGTAGGGGTGAATCTAAGCACAAAAAGGCTTTCTTTGTGTACTGTATGACTTTGTCAGGAGTAAAATAATCAACAGGAATCACAAGTTATCAGATATATCAATGCAGGCTATACACAAGTTTACGTTTCATTATCTCCTGATGAAATAAGCACTTTAGGAAATGTACATAAATATTGGAGCGGGGCTGAGTCTTATTTCTCACTTTGTTAAAAACCAAGGCCCTTCCATAGGGGTGTACTTATTGTATTTAAACCCTGGCCACTTGACATCGTCATCACAACATGAAAGCTATAGCTGATAGAATCTACCAGCAATATGCTGCCAACAAATCAATGGGGCTAGAAATGAGAGTACCGTGTATGTCCACCTCTGTCTGAATCAAGGACCCATTGTTTCAAATATTACAATACATCTTAAAGGATAAACTCAAGACATGCAGGGCAATGTTTTGTGTTTTAATTCTGGTTTGTTCTCAACAAAATAAGTGTGGCATCCACCTTCAAAACGCATAGTTTTGTTGTTTTCCTCAAATAGCAACTGCTTATTTCTGGAAGCACTTAAAGCATCATATCATATCTACATGTCATTTCGTCCATCGGCTGTTTCGTGAGAAAACCAGCAACTTGAGCTCCTTTCCCACTAAAAGGTGACTCAATTTGTTATTCAGAACTTGACTATCCGAGGCTTCAGAACAGGGCCACGTCAACAAACAACAATGGGAGTGTTAACACTACATGAGTGAACAATTTTAGGCGAAACTTTCTTTCTTTAGGCAAACTGGACCACAATGAATTCACTTTGTGGCTCAGGGTGTTATGTTTAAATGTGGATATTGCACAGGCCTACCATTTAACCCTGGCTATAAAAGCTCCCCACAACTGGATCCAGTATCAAGTTTCCAAACAAAGCTAAATTAATTCATTTGACTCTGGACTATGGGTCGGTACATAGTATGCTGTAGAAATTCTGAGAAATAAACAAAGAAACTTTCTTTCATGTGTAAACTATGACTCTTACAGTAGCACACGAGAGCAGGAGGAGGGCCGACGAAAAGCAAGGAAATAGCTGAAACATATGATTCACTTCGACCAGGCTGACGGCCAGCCGTGCACTAAGCAAAAATAAACACAGGACTCCACAGCAGGTTCCCAGAATGTGTTTATATTGGGGGAGACGACAACGGCTTTTGAAATATCACAGCACTTCGGTTTGATTTGTAAGAAGCTGGAGCAGGATCTAAATCACTCTCCTGAGGCATGTCGGAGGTAGAAATGCCTACTTGCTGTATATTAGGAGCTTAAGGTGACGCTACTGTACAACACACTGTAAGACTGGGCATGCTGGTGAAAATAGATGCTTTTCATTACTATTTAGCTCAACAAGAACAAATATGAACAGTCGTACTCATATCTACTAAACTGTGTTCAGCAGGGGAGGAGAACTGCGGACCCGGACTGCGGATATTGTCGAGCGGTGGAAAGAGCACTTTGAGGAACTCCTGAACCTGACCAACTTGTCCTCTATGAATGACAGTTTGAAGACTCGGGGGAACACCCAGAGATCTCAGAGATAGTCAAATAGCTCCTCGACGGCAAGGCGCCAGGGGTGAATGAGATTCGTCCTGAGATGCTGAAGGTTCTGGACACGCCGACACGCCTCTTCAGTGTTGTTCGGAGGTCAGGAATAGTGCCTTTGGAGTGACAGAACGGGGTGGTACTGGGGTTTTTGCTATGAACCATCCTCTCTTTGTATAACCAAAGTGAGAGCTGTGTCAGTATACTTGGCCGGAGGTCAAACAAGTTTCCATTGGGTGTTGGCCTCGGCCAGGGTCGTCCCTCGTCACCGATCCTGTTTGATTTTCATGGCCAGGATATCAAGACGCAGCCGAAGGGAAGAGAGTGTCCGGTTTGGGGAACTCTTGCGTCTCTGCTCTTTGCAGATGATGTGGTTCTGTTGACTCCTTCAGACCATTATCTTCAGCACGCACTTGGGCGGTTTACAGGTAAGTGTGAAGCAGTCGGAATGAGAAAAAGTACCTCCAAGTCTGAGGCCATGGTTCCGTGCTGGAAAATGGTGGAGTGCGCCCTCTGGGTTGGGAGTGATTCACTGCCCCAAATGAGAAAGTTCAAGTATCTCAGTGTCATGTTCACGAGTGAGAGTCAAATAAAGCACGAGATGGACAGGCGCTTCGCAGTGGCGTCAGCAGTAATGCAGGCATCGTACCGCAAGGCAAAGCTCTCCATTTCCCAGTCCATCTATGTTTGCACCCTCACCTATAGTCATGAGCTTTGGGTAGTGACGGAAAAACTGAGATCTTAAATACAAGTGGCCGAAATGAGCTTTCTTCATAGAGTGGCTGGGCTCCTTGAAGATAGGATGAGGAGCTTGGACTAGAACCGCTGCTCCCTCGCGTCATAAGGGGAAATCTGAGGTGGTTCTGGACATGTGTTGTATATAATACAGTAAATAGCATAGGCTATGTTGTTATAGCAGCAGCAACTGATCTGTACATATTGTGCAGTATGTCTTTGTACCACTAGGTGGTGGTACATCCATGCTGCATCCTAGTAGGGTGATTAGTTGAACATATAGGCAACATGTGGTAATAAGCTCTGACAGAAACTCACTTGAGAGGCACAACATTCATGTAATCACAATAGTTATTTAAAAAAGGATATGGCATTAATATGTAATGATATATTCTGCAGTATGTATTTGATATTAATATTGCAAGAGCTGTTACAAACACCTATACAACATTATGCAATTCAGCCCAATAGCCCAGCAATCTACAGGACAAAGACAGGACATGTTACTTCTCTTTTGTTGGAGTTGATTCAACTTCATTGTTGACGGCTGAACAAAGTTAAGGTATTCATGTTATTGTGTCAGAAGACTGAGAGGTGATAAATTCTATATTCAGATTATAAACCACAGTCCAAGAATGTAATTAACCTTGAAATTACATCCCCTCTTTTATTTGCTATTAAAGTCTGGATTTGATCACGTGGATAATCTCAGGAGCTTGGAGGTCATTGTCGTCCTTTTTCAGTGTGTGTGCGCGTTTGTTTGTGTGGGGTTAGTGGAGTGAGAGCATGTGAGGCACTAAACCAGGTCAGTGTCACTGTGTGATCTGATCCTACAGAGAGAATAATGCTCACCAGAGGAATGTTATAATACAGTAACAGGGGACAGCATACTGTACAACAGCAAGAGAGGGCTGAGAGATAGTTGACACTTTTCAAATGGGCAAAAAGGTGCGTTTCTGTCTGTGTGCGTGTGTGATTGTGACTATAATCCAGGTTTCTAGTTCAGCCACAGCTACGCCCTGCATTTCTCAGGGGTCTTCACTTTCTTTTCATTCGGTCCCTCCATTGTTCCTGCTTCCTCCCACCGGGCTGTCCTCCAGTGAAGCCGGTGTCTCACCTCGCTATGTGCATTGTGTCCACACTAAATGGGATCACTGTGGAGACAGCAGGGTGCCTGTTTCCAATCCTGCTAGCCACACCAGTTTGTCCTCCCAGTTTCACCATACAGGTCAGATAAACGCCTGAGGAGGTGGATGCCACTGTATGATGGCAAATATAGCTCAGTCAGTTTGTGTGCTAACTAGTAGTGCAGATAATAGGCTAAACCAATGTTTTACAGCACTATAGTGACGACTCAAGGTCTAACCACTTATTTCCTAGCTAGTTATCCATTCTTTCATGATTATTTCTAATTGTATTATATTATTAGCTCTAATATTCAGAGTAGTTTATTTGTCATTACGTATATTTGGTCAAACATAAAATGAACAAGGTTTAAATGCCCTGAAAAAAACCTCAGTACACCAACAACAATTCGTTTTTAATACGACCCCCCAAAAAAACGGTCTAAACGTACAGCTGCTGTTTGCAAACCTGCAATCTGGCAGGAAATTAACTGCATTTAAAATTTTGACACAGACTTGTTAAGTTCATGTGGACCAGTTATTTTTTTTCCATTCCTCTACAAGGTGTCAAGTTGCATCCTCCTCCTTGTTGCTGTGGGATTGGACACACCAACAGCAACTCCGCCCCGACAAAGAGAGTTGTGCCTCCGCAGACAAACTCACCTGTGAAATCTGGTCCAGTAACAAACAGTCACTCGCACCATCAGGGTCGAAACCTGACCTCGCAGCACAACAGAAGACCCACTGAAGAACTGAGAGCGATGTAAGTACTATGTTGTCTTTCTCCTCTGATTTTACTCATCAAATAACTTTATGTCACTGAGTTTTCAATTTCACACAGGAAGAAGCAGGTACAGTTCACAGTTTTAAGACACAGATAGATGGAGGCCTTGAAATCAAATAGATCCTCTATATTGTTTGGTGTACTTTTTAGATAACCTAACAAAAACCGAAATATAGTGTTTTATATTTAGCACTTGTAGTTTAACCATCACCAGTCACATTGATAGTAGTTGTCCTGAGAGAAGTATAGATTACTTAACGAGCACGGAGCCTGTTTGACATAACTGTTAATCAAGCGCCCACAAAGAGACGCAAAATAACTACAAAGAGATGCAAAACCACTACAGTGAGATGCAAAGCGACTAAAGGCAGATGCAAAATGATTACAGAGAGATGCAAAAATGACCACAGAGAGAAACAAAAGAATGCAGTGTTTCGTCCCTTATTTGACCACTTTCTGTCCATGTTGGTTTGAAAGTTTATGACTGCTGTTTCCAAGGTCAAGAACCCACTTTCAATTTTATCAATCAATCAAATGCATGATTGAAGGTCTGTGATTTTGTCTGTGATTAAACGTTTATCTTAATCTTCCGCAGTGGACACCATGGCCTCCACCCTCTCTGTGCACAGCTACTCGGTGCGTCAGCCCTCCTACTCCAGCATGTCTGTCAGGGACAGTGGACGCAACATCCGCTCCAAGCCCCCCGTCTCCGTTGGCATGCTGTCTCTGTCCCGCTCCGTCTCAATGGGCAACGGTCTCAACATGCTGGGCACCAGCCTCTCCTTCAACGGCCTCGGTGGCGCCGCCAGCGACAAGGAGACCATGCAGGGCCTGAACGACCGGTTGTCCAACTACCTGGAGAAGGTGCGCTCGCTGGAGAGGTCCAACGCTGAACTGGAGGTGAAGATCAAGCAGCTCATGCTCGAGAAGGTTCCAAGGGGGCACGACATCGAGGCGATGATGTCCCAGGCACATGCCATCAGGGAGGAGGTCAGTGTTTGTAGATCAAACTCAAGAGCTCACTTAACAGAGGATGTTCTTCAGGGAGCAACTGACTGTACCCCAGTGATCTTGATGTGTACTTGTTGATAGTTGATGGGCTTGATTGTGTTTGCCTTTTTACCTGCACACCTGAAATCATATTGGAATACTAATACACTACTTTACAGCACTATGAAGAAGTCAAATGCAGGATATATGTTTAGGGTTGTTTGATTAAGCAGAAATGTTTACGCTAACATTATGAAAAGCACATATCTCTAGTCCTTGACACCGGATCGCCATTAACTTCCCACCATGTATCCCTGCTCAGGTGAGAAAGAAGACGCTGGAGAACGCCCGCATCATGCTGGAGATTGATAATGCCAAGCTGGCGGCCGACGACTTCAGGCTCAAGTGAGTGTCACACAGTGGGTCCTTTCTTTTACTTGCCTGCGAGTGTTCACATGCGAGCGCCAGACTGCAAAGCAATGTGAATAAATGACCTTTATGTCAGGCTGTGAAATAAGAGCCCCATTCCCACGGTGCCCAGGCAGCCGCAGGAGATGAAGATGGCCATCGGTGAGCGCAGGATGTGATAGATTATGCGGGTCAGAGAGACATCATCAGTTACAGAAGTCCAGAGTTGGCAAAGTGAAGCTGAATGAAAGCCGGTGGAGTCACCCACCCACTGCTGGTGTTTTTCACATTGTGTTGATGGTATGTTCTGTGGCCTGGTGTGAAGGGGCGATACATCAACCTGCAGTTATTTATGGTGTTGGCAGCAAAGTGCATGTGTACCTCACATGCAGATCTTTGCATGGGTTTGGATGGTACTTTTCACACGTGTGCATCCACTCTGGAAAAATTCATGAGTGGTTTCATGTGTCTGCCGTTTGTCCCCAGATTGTGCCTCTCATTCTCATGCCTTATCAATGGTAGAGAGTTATTAAGGACAATTTCAAGGTACTTGTACTTTACTTGAGTATTTCCATTGTATGCTACCTTCTACATCTATCCCACTCCATTACAGGGAAAATATAGCAGTTGTACCCCACTATATTAATACGCAGCTGTTACATTGCAGATTAACATTTTACAAACAAAAATAAGCTTAAAGATTATATATGAAACATGTATGCAAGTTGTGTAAAGTAGCCGATAATACTTCACACCATTACTTCCAATTAAGTATTTTTGGAGAACTTTAAGCTATCTCACAAACTGGGACTAGTGTTGCTAGTTACTGAATATCTGCTGATGACCTCCTTTCCTCCGCTGTGTTTTTCCTGCAGATGGGAAGCAGAGGCCACCTTGGGCCAGTCGGTGGAGAGGGACTGTCAAGCTCTGAAGAGAGCAAAGTCTGACCACGACCAACTCATCACCACTCTGCGAGGAGACCTGGACAGCCTGAAGGAGGAGCTCTACTTCCTGAAGAAGAATCACGAGGAGGTGAGATCCTCGCCGAGGTGAAGGGTCACATCAAGACATGATCAATGAGTGTTTTCTCGTCAAGATAATCACTTGACAAGTTGTCAAGTGCAGTCTTGTTTACATGTAGGATGTCTTTGAAGCACGGCGGGTTTACTGAGCAGCATGAACACCAGTTTCCTGCATCTCGATAGAACAATATCATCCAAAAAAGTTGTAATACGTTCCAATTATTGTTCTATCAGCGACACAATAGCAGAAGGTTGAACAGTATTCAGAAGCTGAAACGTGATCATTTTAAGTGTGCGGACACACCTCTTTTCTTTGTAGCCATGGTGCTACAAGATAGCAAGACACCACCTGTGTAAACAACAGACAGGAGCATTTGAGCCCATCCAGCCATGGGGATTATGTGTGTTTAGACTCTAAGGCGTGGTATCCAGGATGTGGACTGTAAACCTGACCAGAGAATATTTATCTTGCACATGCAGAGGTCATAAAAAAAAAAAAAAAAAAAAAAATTATATATCTATATATATCAAACAAACAAAGGAGGAGTTCAAATTTACTGCAGCACAGCTCAAACTGGTTGTAAATAAATAATTGCTATAAAAAAGAAATAGTTCAACAGAAATACTGTCCAATATACTCATCAGTACATTTTGTTGATAGTACTTCAGTACTGCATTAAAAATCCAACATAAGTACTTTTAGTACTAGTGTGGTAATACTACTACTTCAACTAAAAGTACAGGCTCTGAATACTTCTTCTGCCACTGGATAGATAAGACGGCGCAAAAATCAGATGGGTTGCTTCAGGGTTGTCCAGGGAGTGAGGTAGAAACGTAGATGTTGCAGCATTAAACACCGCTTTTACCTTTTACCTCTTTAAATGATCATAGGAGACGAGTCTAATGAAGTCTCGGCTGGCTAACGAGCAAGTGAGCGTCGAGGTGGATGCGGCTCAAGGTCCGGATCTGGGAGCCATCATGGCTGAGCTCAGGGTCCAGTATGAGGGCATCGCTCGCAAGAACAAGGACGACGCCGAGACCTGGTACCTGAAGAAGGTCCGTGACTGCACTAATCTATTATTACTTGCCTTTTTTTCGTGGATTTATAGACTACATGCTCAACATTATTATATTGATGTCTCCAGTTGGAAGCAGTGCAGTCGGAGGTCAAAGAAAACAACGAGGCCTTGCGTTGCGCCCAAGGCGAGCTCAGTGAGAGACGACGTTTCCTGCAGGCTCTGGAGGTCGAACTCGACAGTCTTCGGAAGCAGGTACAGTACTTCATTCAAAGACAGTAACAGAACTCCGTACGTTATCACATATTTCTCCAGGAATAACACTTTAACTTCTCAGTAAATAGTCTTTTTCTTGCAGAAATGAATCAAGAGTCATAGTAACTACCATTCCACTACTTCTTTGGAGCTTAGCCCCGTCCTGACCCCTTCTCTTCTGAACACGTTATCTATAGATAACAGCTGCTTTCTTCTTGTCAACAAAGAGCCTTTAGCGGCACAATGCACACAGCAATTTCATTGTGCTCCAATAATCAATCAGCGTGACAAGACGAAGAGCCAAACAAGCCAATGCTTTGTCCGTGTCTCCGCTTCATGTAAGCACAGGTTAAGCTAGCATATAGAGCTGTGCAGTGGCGGCAAATATAGCTCATGGATGTTTGCCTAATAGATAGCACACAGTATTGAATGCAGAGATATTACGGCGCTGACAGTCTCAAGTATCTCTGGTTGAGTGGTGAGGGGGGGCGCGAGTGGATGAGCTCAACAGGTAAACATATATAGAAATAATGGATGGTAAGAATGTACACCGTGTATACTGTGTGTACATCATGCTTTGTGTGAGCCGTCTGAGTTAAAAAAGGTGCCCTGTGGAGTTTTCTCATAAATGTATTTATTCAGTGTTGGCCACCAAATCCCATCTGTGTGTATCCGTGTATTTCTTCCACATAAAACATTTGCAATGCCAATTTCTTTCTGTTTACATGTTTATTAGTGTGCAGTCTTCCTAATCACGGCCTTTGGTGGGGCATTGCAGCATATCTTGGCGTGTTACAAGACAAACAAAACAGGAGAAAAACATCTCCATAGGCCTACTACTACCTGTGGGGTCTAAAACTCCACAAGGAACCTTTAACCGTTTATCCACATCAGTGTTTACCTTTTATTGTTACTGTTACATCTTGACTACACTACCAGTTAAAGCTGCACTTTAAAATATGTTGTTAATAATGCATCAGTTCCCCTCAGCTCTTTGGAGTGTTTTAGCAACCTTACCGTTTTGGTGCCGCGCTGTTATCTGCATCAATTCCAGCTGCAGCAGATTTCAGGAAAAATGACCCGATAAACCTGCTGAATGCTTCCTGTAAAACAGCAGCAGACAGTTAGCGACAATACGGCGAACTTTAAAACATTAAAGTATTTTTCTCAGGAGTTGGTGCAGACCAAAACGGAGCTTAAAGAGAGTGCAGGTCAAAATGTATTTTCCAGCAAAAGAAAAACCAGCAGATTTAATGTTTAATGCTTTTGGTTAAAATTATATTTAAATGTTTAAGTTTTTGCATAAATGTTGTGGATGTGAAACTGCTCCAGGATGCACCTTTTAATACATACGAGGGGCTGACATTTCAGAATAAACGAAATGTGTTCTTCACGTCACATTGTTTTGTAATGTATGAGACTGTACAGTACGACGTGTTATTAACGGCCACTGATCATTACCCGTTGGCTCCGCTGACAGGTAGGTGTGTTGGAGGGAAACCTGGGAGAAACGGGGCACAAGTACTCTGTGGAGATGGACCGTCTTCAGGCCACACTGACCCATCTGGAGGACGAGCTGTCTCAGCTACGTTTGGACATGCAACGCAATAAGACCGAATACGAGCAGCTGCTGCGCATCAAACAGAACCTGGAGATGGAGATCGCCACCTACAGGAGGCTGCTGGAGGGAGAGGAAACGTAAGTGAGGGCCGACATAAAACTATGTAGATTTGAGTATTGATGGTGGAACAACATACTTTTAAGCTAGAGCATTTGTACGTTTTTTCTTTGAGTAGTGCCAATATCCCAATAAAGAAAATGGCTTTAAGTATTAACTAATATTGCTTTTACACAGGAGCACATGTAGTTATCCTGAATATGAACGTATTGTACACACCAAATGAAATAGTTTGACATTTTGGGATTTACAGTACACTTTCTTGGAGAGTTGGATTAGAAGATCTATACCACTGACCACATCGACGGTGGTATCAATCTTCTCTTCACACTCAACAAGAGGAGTAAACAAGTCCCATAACAAGGAACTATTTCTTTAAAGTGTCCTACTTGCATCGGATGTTGAGTGAGCATGGTATCAGCCTGCTCTCTTGGAAGACATTGTCATATTCTTTTATCCCACAGGGTAAAAGAAACACCTCCACCTCCTAAAAGTAAGTTCAGACTATCTTTATCTTTCCTATGTATTTCAGACTCTCCCTTTAGCCCACATGAAATGTTGGTCTAGGGTGTGGTTGCTTGATACCCAAACAGGATCTGATAAACAAGCACCAAACAGTGAAATTTTGACATTCGATCCCTTTGCTTTTTCATCCCTTTTGTATATATTTGGCATAAAGTTGGTACACACCAGCATTCAGGTTGCCGACATTAGGTTACATTTGAAGGTTACCAATTTCACCCCCTCCCCTCTGGGAAAAAAGTATTTCTGATACCAAAGTTTCGGTTCAGCCTCATAACCTCAGTATGGAAAACTAATACTTTGCTAGTAAGACGTTTTATTGTCATTAGATGACTGAATGTTATTTTTCAGTGCTGTTCCAGTAGACAAGAAAGATTAAGTTTTTTTTTTTTTTTATATTCTGTGTCACAGAAGAACCCGACATAAGGACAAGGAAGATAGTAAAAGTCGTCACACAGACCATGATCAATGGCGAGGTGGTGGATGAGTCCAGCGAGGTGGAGCAGATCGAGGAGCGCAGGAAATGAGCCAAAGTGTGCGAAGAGAAGGAGATTCTCTTAAACCCAAAGCCTGCTGACAGGTTCAAGTCTCAACACGACCTTCTTGATTTATGAAACATCAACCTTATTTGATCCGACAAAAACAAACAAAAAAAAAAAAAAACAACTCACTACTGTAGGTTTTTTCCAGAGCTTTTGACCACATGCTATGGTCTTTCCCAGCAGATTGATTGCTGTTAACATCTGAAACATCCAGTAAAAACTGCCTATTTTTTGCTCAAACTGCTGTTTTCAAATTTAAGAATTAACTTTCACACTCATTTGAATTTAAAGAAATCGTTCATCTTTTTTGGGGGAAATGTGTTCATTTTCTTTCTTGCAGGGAGGACGATGAGGAGACTGATTCCACGTGTCTGTATGTTGGATATGAAGAGCTTGTAGTCTAGGACTAGGACACAGGCAGCTTGGCTCTGTTCAACACAACCAGCATCTCTAAAAATGTCACGAGTTAACATGTTATATCTGCTTTGTTTAATTCATACAAAAAAAGTGTAAAAAAAGTATTTATGCTAAGCTAACCAGCTGTAGCTTCATATTTAATGCACAGACATGAGTCTTTTCATCAAGCTCTTGTCCTTTAATACTGACTGAAGCTTCTAGAAAATGTACTGATCCTGCGACAGTATATCTACTATATGTGCGTGATAGTTTCACTGTGAAATAGTAATGGCCGTCTTGTGCTGTAGTTTTATTATAGAAATTAACAAATCAACCAAAGCTGCTGTACAGTGTCAATAAAACAGTGTTTCAAAATAAGAGTCCCTGTTGATTTTTAAGAGAGTTTCGCTCAAACAGAAACTTTGACTGATACTCGAGGAGCATAATAGGACTTAGCAACAAAGAAACACATGATTCTCCACCAAGAGGGCAGAAAGTACAAAAACCTTCACACAACAGTTTCAGGTTACAGGCTTTTGTGTATTCAAGTGTTGTGTTTCAGTGAGTTTCTCTGTGAGTTTTTAATACACATGTACAAACAGCATAAAGTCACCAAAAGTTGACAAAGTGAAATATGACGACCACAAAAAGGGGCATAAAGTCCTACAGTAGTGTGATTAAAGACTATTGTGTCATCTTTCTGGGTCGCTGTGATAAGAAGATCACAGAAAATAAACCCACAGTTCAACAACAAAAGTTAAAAATGGGAAGAAAAAAGATGTTTAGGAAAACCAACTTTAAGGATTCTGGTGAGTTTTAAGGTGAAACTTTTGAAACCAAGTTGTATTTCATGAAATGTGATCGTGACAAAACGCTGAATTGCTGTCATTTGGGGATTTCAACTATTTTGAGTTTTAAAAGCGGATAATCGCTGAAGTGTTTTGAAGAACAGATGTTTGTGTGGTAAACAGTGTGCATGTGTTTATTATGTGTGAGCTTTTCTATACGTTTGGATATCAACGTTGTTGTAATTTGAGTCCCTGCACTGCTGCCATCAAAGACTGAATGGGCTAATTATTTCAATAAAGATAGAACTGAAGTTCTGCTTATTGCTCTTAACTTTTAAATCTTATCATCCCCATCTTGGACCACTAACAGTTAACTTAAAGGATACACAATTTTGAAACAAGAATAAATAAGGAAGTTGCTGCACTAGAATTATGAAAAATATGAAAATAAAACAAGTTAATTGGCAGGAACAAAAAGAAGTTTGGAACTTGTCATCGCCTTTAAGAAACTAAAATAAAAATGAATCATATTTGACAAATTCTTCGTATGTTTTGAATGTAAAATCTTTGTATTCAAAATAACTTCATGAGTCAAAAACACGCAGTAAAGTATAAAGTAAAAATATGTCCCTCTGAAATGCAGTGGAGCAGATGGAAAAAGGAGCAGATAGATTTAATACTCAAGTAAAGTACCTCAATATTATATTTAGATACAGTACTCGAGTACTCAGTTACTTTCCACCAGTTCAGATCACTTCACTGACAGGGATTTTAAGTGTACTATTGTCTGTGTTGTCTTTTGGTCGGGCAGAAAGAAAAGTGAGAGACATGATGTCTGTTAAACTGACCCTTCACTAAGCTACGCTCCCTGAGCAACGGTCGCTATATACTGTACATTAACAACAGTGGCAGCTTTAACAGTCCCAATGGGGGGGTCATTTTTTATACAATGGGTCCATCATTTCACACAGACGTAGACAGCAACAGCAGTAAACAGACGTCGTCTCAGGTTTAACAGTTGCAGATTTGTTTTCCCTCAATCCTAGAATTAAAAAAGGAAAGGTTGACAAATGTTCACATCTGTCTTAAATCAATAGTCACGTTCATATGAACATTGAAACAGGTTTTGCTGGCTGTAATTATACCTCCTGTTCATATTGGATATTAAAAAGATCCTCTCATCTTGTCTACTGAGATTCATTTTATACTTAACCTCAAATGTCCATATCTATATCGGTGGCTGAGTTAATTAGGCTCATTCACGTGATTAAAGCCCTTTGTAAGGACGACACAAACTTAATTTAGTTTTAATCGTATAGTTTGTTGAACAATTCAAACCGCATAAAAACAGCTTATTTTATGGATTGTAGCTTTTATCGAGTATTTTATTCATGGGTATTTATCTTCCATCTTTTTATGGGAGAATACATTAAACCTTGACCCTGCATTGTTTTTGGTCTGTATTTCTGACCCTTTTTTAACTAATACAACCAAATGTTCAAATGTACACCACCTGGGTTAAAGGATGATCATGTTTTTAGTGTTTTAGCTCAAGCTGCCTGTTGTAATTTGGTGTTTAATGTTAGTTTTAAATTTTGTATTTTATTTTTTCCATCTCTTCTCTGAAAATTGTAGAACTCCAATTTTAAAAAGGTATTGGAAAGAGAAAACTCAGCTTACATCAGTGCTCATTTACTGCAGCTTCTTGAAAATGTGTGAAAATCCAAATGTCTGTCACTCCAGTGTGAAAAGTTTTACTACGACGCTGAAAAAAATAAACAAACACACATTCCCAGAGTCAGATTTCACTGATAACGTCAAAGTCTGAATCTGAGGCCTCGTCATCAGCAGTATTATTTGTCACCTTGATGGCAAACTTGTAAAAGTCCAAATATAGATGTTTCACACAGACTTTTAAGAGTCCATTAACTTAAGTGTCCCATGACGTCACACAAATAATTTACACCAAACAGAAACAATGATTGGGTTGTTAAACTCACGACATGCGACACGCCCAAACTCTTTCACTTAAGATCATCTTTGAATTATAATCTAACCAAACTTTCTGTCAAATCTAAAACAGAATTATCTCTCATGCAGAGATTAAGTGACTCATCATTTGTGTTACTGTCTGATTTTATCATATTATCCCATGTTTTGGATTTGGTAACATCAGTGATTGTTTGTGATCTCAGATTTATAGTCAAAGCTCTCAAATGTCTTACTTTCTCATGCCATGTGGTGTTGGACGTTAGATATTAACATTACCTCAGCTGCCGTTCTGTTCTGTCATGTCAGCATTTCACCACTTGAGGGTGCAAGAAGACCAACCAGACCATCTTATCTTATCACTTGACTACATGAAGAAATGAGATGGCAGCTCTTCAAGTTCTCCCTGTGGTCTGTTCTTCCGTTTTTGTCCAATTAGAAATTGTTTGCCGACAGATGACCTTTGCCCTGTTGCTCCAGCCTTCATAAAACTACCCGGACCATAGAGCAAGTGCAAAGACATCTACTTTCACCCTGCCTCCGGCCAGCCTTGTTCTCATGAACTGAGGGAGGGGAAAAACTGGATTAGTGCACTTTACAGCTTTTAGCTCACAATGGTTTGAATTAGGGTTATTCAAGTGCTCGTACTGGGACGTTTATTTACCACAACAAAAAATGATCCGCTGATTTAAAACCGTCTCTTTACTAGGCGACTTTTTCAGTCCTCATAACCAGTACAGAGTATCGATCTGATCCCAGTGTAATTCATAAGCCGGATACCTCACTGTGTGGAAGTGACATCATTTTGTGTAAGGCAACATCAGGCTCCAGTTATTGCTTTCCTAACTTTGTAAAACAAAATGTAACAATAAATAAATACCAATTTATTTAATTGATATTTACTTAGAATATAAATTCATACACCAACAACTTTGTGTCAAAAAAATTTTAATTTTAGAGTAAACCTTTTCAATGCAGCAACAAATTGGTCAAAACTTACAGAAATTAAAATACCACGATATAATGTATACATGTAGAAATGAAATGATCAGCCCAATTGTCACAGCTGACAGACACCTGATTCAGCTGTTTGAGTCAGTATCTGCATGCTATCAGAATAAATGCATCCCTGGGGGCTGCAGCCCAATGGCATCACATGACAGACCCAGAAGTTGTGATTTCACCCTTTAGCCACTACTTAAAATATGCTTCAAAGCCGAAGTAGATAAATAAGTACAATTCATAAAAACAAGATCCGCTTAAAACAATTAACCCTTGCTCTGTGTCCCCTCATTCACAGTGCATTTCACCCTCAACTATACAGAGCACTGCTTCCATGTCGTGCTACACATGCATGATTATTAACAAACATTGGCAGCAAAATAAGACTTGTTTTTTTCACACGAACTCTGATCATTTTGGGTTTGCCCGTCTGCACAACAATACATGACTTACATTTACTTGTTCACTCTTGTTGCTGTTGCCGAATAGCGGAAGTGGTCATACGGAAGTCAACACCATATTCCACATTGGTCCAACTGATAAACGTAACGTTGCATTATGTTATCACCCTCTACGGATAAAAAACCTCAATGAACCTTGAAGCTGCAAGATACGGGGACCAAACAATTGGCCCTTATGTGATCACCAGCCCGCTAACCGCGCTGCAGTGATGCCAAAGATAACATGCAAACATAATAATAACTACGAACAACCCTGCCACCTTAACAGGGCAGCTATAAAAGTGTCACCTGTTCAATTCTGATGTTTTTCTTGGAATGTAATCATACAAAACCCCCAGAAAACTTAATGCTGTACAGTATATGAGCTTAAAAAAGGACAACAGCGGTCATGTAGTCCTACCTACGAAAAACCTAGAATAAAACAAAACGTCTCAAAGCGCATGCGTTGAAGAAGTGTATCATCCGCAATAAACGCTCTTTGGCTGATCAGCCCCTGATGGACACTTCACCTGTAAAAACACCTACAACACTAAAATAAATCGTCGCCTATTATTATGTAAGTTTATAAAATACCTGATTACTTACGTTTTTATTATTTGTTAAATTTGTGCTGTTGGAAGTTTTAGTTTCATCAAAACCTGTAATGAGTTGAAGGACGTAGAACAAGCTAACTAGCTAACTGCTAAATAAGTTACTCTGCTAGCTTAACTGAACGTCTCTTGGAAGAGATCGCTAAGCTAACTTTGTCAGATTTATCATCTGATAGAAGCACTAATGTTGGGAATTAAAATGAGGAATTTACCTGTTAATGATCTGTTTAATATTTTTCGTTTAGACCGTGATGATTATGCAATTAATGTTTCCTGAAAATATGATTATTTTTCTTTGAATTGCAGTTTTTATGATAATATTTTATGATGTTTAACGTTACAGGTCTGAAAACGACATCACTTCTCGAATGCAAACGTTCCCTCCAGTCAGATTTAAAGCTCTCGACTATGTTTTTGAGGTGAGCTTAGTGTTGTCTTTTTATATTTACCTCAGAATAATATCATTTAACCTCAAAGCTATGTTGCCCTGCTCTTCCTCCTCTGTCCTTTTATTTCAGACCACCACCAGTCTGAAAGTAATGATGAACTTACTGGCGCTGCCAGCACCGTACCTCACTGGTACCAGTGACCTGTACCCGCACAGGGGCAAGCTGCCTGAAGTCACCTACAGGGCACCATGGATCAGAGGTAGAGACACGGTAACCAAGGTCACAATACCACTGTGTTTACTGGTTTCATGTGTTTTAAAGAGGGTTTTTATATCAAATGTAGTCCAAGACACTGTAGCCCAGTCCATTCCCAAATATTGAGTATTCAGACCTTGTCTAATGTCCCAGTATCAGAGTAGATAGGAAGCTAACAGTCAAGTAAAGAGCTACTGTAAGGCTCAAATGTTTTCCATGCTTAATCACATTTATTCTGGTCTTATTGAATAAATAAATGTGGTACATAAATACTTACAGGTGTCGAAGTACCCTAAATGAGACAACCACAAACTTATTTTTAACTTGTTGTAGGAAAGGTGATCTCAACCTGCAAACTCTTCGTCAGTGGTTCAGTGCTCGATGACCTGGGAGAACAAAGCCAAGCAGATATTTTACCAGAGAAGTTAAAAACTGTCTCACTGTGCATCATTTTACTCTCATTATGTTTTATTGTTTGAGGTGTGATTTTAGATATTTATATTCCAGATTTCAAGTGTCTCTGAGTGAGGTGAAAGGGGATGTGGAGGTGATACCCAGCTCTAATCCTGACTCACTGACGGATCTAGACCAGGATGAGTATCTCTGCCTGTTAAGAGAGACGTGGATCAATAATCCGTGTCAGGAATCATTCTTAAAGTGTTCAACTGACCAGATGAAACATGGAAATGAAAACAAAGGTAAGTCAATGTTCCATTTTAGGAATATCTGTGACATTAATTGTCTTTCTCACCAAAAAATATGTTTCCATCTGTTCAAAGATCACCTCCTGCCTGAAGAGCTGATGGTTGTTGATTACCTGCCACACTTTAAGAGACATTTACCCTCGCTGAAAGCTAAACTGTCCAGGCTGAGGATGCTTCCTGTGGCCGACCCTCTGCTGAGCTCAACGGGAGATACCATCTCTGAGGACGCCATTTTTAGGTGTCTTATGTTTATCCTTCAATAGTTATGTGATCAAAGTGGTTGCACATTCCTAGTAGTGTACTTAGTTACTTTCCCCCACTGCTTTTTAGGCACTGTGCGTCTTTTGAAAAACCTCCTGATGTGCACACCAGGGACTTTCAGACGTGTGCAAACATTCACGAGGAGTTTGGTAAAGAGTCACTGATGAAAGAAGAGGTAACTAAAAAGAAAAGTGCAGAATGATTTGTTTTGGTATGTTTTAAAGTTACTTTAAAAATTGTTTCTTTTTGTTCTGTGAAGTCTCTTTTGCTGCCTGTCGTAGTGGACACGCTGAATCTGAGCCAAGACAGCTGCACCGCCTTTTCAAGCATTTGTGATCGAATGATTGTTGGTCCTGAACAGCTGGATGAGCAACTTCCAGTCCTGGATGTGCTTTATAAAGGTAATTAATGACATATAAGTTAATTAGGAAATATAAACATGCACAGAAAAGTAAACTCATATATTGGAGTCCCATTTCTCACAGCTTTCCTTTCTGATGGATCAGCATCGGTTGACATTTCTCAGTATGAAGTACCAGAGGAGCCCGACGACAAACGCATCATAAAGGGAGGCTTCATGGAGCTGACAGGTAAAAGTTAGAGAGAAAACACAAAGAGTAACTTGTTAGTTCATCATGTTTGGACAGAAATAGTTTCTACAGTGGCTGGTTTACTAGAATGTAGTATTCAAATCATTTAATTAGTAAAAGTAGCAAAACCATACACAGGCCAGTAATAGTCCTGCATTCAACGTTTTACTTAAGAGTTACTTACATTTAAATGATCTCGCATGTATTATTTAGTGTTAAAAACAGAATGATATAATATTTTGTAATAATTGTATGATTCACAGTGTTATGAGAACTACTTTTTGCTAATAATCCTTCTGTACTTTTGTACTTTTACTCAAGTAACATTTTAAATTCAGGACTTTTACTTGCAATGCAGTATTTTAACACCATTTCTTGTAAAATACTCTAAAATAGAAATATTCAGGTAAAGTATCTCAAAATTGTACAAACCAACCGACTACAACTGATTCCTTTACAAGGAAAAAATTTAAAATTCAATATTTTGAATAGAATATGATATTAAAATGTATAAAACCAGGTGTAATATGAGTGTTTTAAATTCCAGTGTTAATATAAATCTTTGGTTGCAGTTGGGATGAGGGTCTTGCAGAAGGTGGCGGTGCGGTAATGAGCAGAAACTAACTTCCTCTTCCTCTCAGGACGTGTGACGCTTCTGACTGAAATGGAGCTGGACGTGACTTTGACTCCAAGTCCCGAGACGAGTCAAACCCAAATCTGTCCGTCCACACGTGAACTTCAGAAGGAGTCGTCGTCGGTGATCTGCAGAGGGTGAGTGATGAAAGCACGCGGTCAAACTGCTCGTACATCCTGATCAGGTTCAGTTTATTCTCACTGGACGTGCAGATTAAGTGTTAACATTAACTGAACTAGCTGTCATATACGGCCTTTAATTCTCCTGAACACATTCAGAGAATAGAACCATATATGTTCCAGCATTAGCTTTATTAAATCCCTGTGTGGTATAATATAAGGTGATGTTAATGTCGTGTAGGAAAGTTCGTGTAACAATGATCGTCATGTAGATCTTTGGTGTCAGCGAGAGCTCAGAAAGAGATGGAGACGGCCCTTTGGAAGGCGGAGAAGCATCCGACCTTCGTGGTGGGCTTTCTATTGGCAGGTGAATGTTTTAGTTTTCACAGATCTGTAGTTAAAGTAGCGTTTAAAAAAAGTTGAGTGTAAAACATCTTTGTAAGAGTCCGTGTGTTACCTGAATCTCTAATCTTGGCAGTTTAAGAGACCTACACTACAAATACATCTACAAAGGACGTTATTAATAATCTACTCGCTGTATTTTCTCACAGAGCCTCAAATATATGAACCAGCGGTCGACTTCCAGCCGCTGTCTGAAGCCTGGAAAGTCACAAAGTCGGAGAATCAGAGCTTTGTCGTCGTTGGTGACAAACTGCAGTCAGAGATGGAGGTCGGAGCTCCGCAGGTGTGTTTGTGCAGCGATAGAGACTTCACAGAGAGCATGAGGCCGGAGTCTCCCTCCACCACACAGGAAAAGATGGAGGACTTCAAAAAACTGTCCCCTGAGCACGAGGAGAGTGAGTAGTTCTGTTCTTTATTGACTCAGTCCACGCTCAGTCTGGACTCAGCAGTTAGTTGATTGTTTTAGACGATTAAAGTTTGAGATTGTTGCAGCAGATTTCTCACCCGTCCTCTCATCTCCTCTGGTCTCAGTCACATCTGTCCGGATGAATCCCGCAAACAAAACTCCGTCACCTCAACTGAAGAAATGTCAAACTGCTGCTGACGACACACGTCTTCAGAAAGAATCTTTTGCCGCTACGTCTCAGGACACCTTCCCGATGCACGCTGTCCACATAAACAACAAGGAAGTAAAACATGCACCCGTAACATTTTCTAAATTCGCCGCTAACGCCGACACCAAAGATGAGGTTTCAAACGAGAGGTTTTTAGACGGTGCGGCCATGTTTCCTGCCCGTAAGAGCGACATCAGCACACGTAGAGGCGACTGTAAGGCCGAGCAGAGCACCGTGTCCACCAGAGACCATCACAGGTGTGTACCGGTTACGAGACGTCCACCGGAGAAGGACCTCGACCCTCTGGCCACCTTCATGATACTGAGATCTCAGCAGACGGCTTCGGTTACTGAAGCTCCTCAGAGCTCAACTCCAGGTACTCTGTGATGCTAAATGACTGAATAGATGATGCGTTTATTCAGTGTTCCTCTTACAAAGTCCTACTTTTATACACATATTTAATATTTTAAAAGAATAAAAATTTCCATCAATATATGCTTTTTCTTTATAGGTAAAATATAAATATGCACTAGTCGTACCTTTATTGAAGTCACTCGATGTAGGATTTAATTTAGTTTTAAACTTTGTCTCCATCTGGTGGTCAAATACAGAATGTTCATGAAACTCCCAACAAGTATCTGTATTTCATTATTTATGTATTTCTGTGTTTATCTTTCTATTTTTATTGCTGCACAAAATAATTAATTAACACACAGAAGTTGAAATTAATCAAACTGTTTTGATAATTGATTATTTGTATTTAATTTAATAAAATCTCCAGTTCTAGCTTTTCACTTTTTTAATTTACTATAAAACTGAATATATTTGGGTTTTGGACTGTTGGTTGGACAAAATGACATTTTAAGACGTCACTGTGGGCTCTTTGCTGACACATTATTTATTTATTTGTAGACCAAATAATTCATAGAAAAAGGAGGAAGTAATCTGTAGATTATTCAGTTATGTAAATAGGCGCTAGTTTTAGCACTAAACTACTACTGTCAACCTTTACATGGCTTTATTTATCCCAAATTTAAACATTTTGGTGTTCAAGTTCATGATACCTAACTTTGATATTTACCTTACAGTCCTCGATCTCAGTGTTGTGACACTAGTGTCACTTCACACACTGTTACATCATCTCATCCTTTTCATCAGCACCAAACGTGGACCAACAAGAACCATCTGAGCACCATCAGCCTCCTCCAGAGCAGAGGCCAACGTATATGAGTTGCGCTGTGTCAGCAAATGCTACCAGAGAGCAGAACGCAGCGGGCCAGGTGACGGGTAAAACGAGTCATCCTGTCTGTCCGTCCATCCCTCCGAACAGATGGGACAGCAGAGCGGTACAAGTCCAAGCTACCGGTACGATACCCAATGATATACCAAAACACATGTCTCAACTTGTCCTCGTTGGAGGAAAGCGTGGATAAGATGGTTCAGAAAGTGTTTGTGACTCTCGTTTCCTCGCAGACAGCCAGCAGCGTGCCCACTGTGAGCTGCTGGCCTTCGCTCAGCCTTGTTTGAGCTCTGCCAGACAGCTGGGCCTCAACTTTCCTGTACGAGGAGACTTCAGCTGCCTGGCCCCGGACCAAACACACTTCCTCCTCAAACAGCAGGAGAGAGCGCTCTGCGGGTCACATGCACGGAGCGCAGAGCTGGTCAGAGGTACAAAACACAATGTCATAGTGCAGAAACACAGTTTTTACAACCTTATCTTTTGGCTTGTAACTGTTCGCCGAGATGGGAATTCAGTAAATCTGTGTGAGAAAAGGTGTTAAATCCCTCTGCCGGCCTTGTGTGTACAGATCAGGAAGTGCTTTTCAACCAGGCGGCTCTGATTCATGTGCTGGTGACATTTAAGGAGCTGCTGCTGAAGTGTGACCTCGGTACTGCATTGGGTCAGTGTGTGT